AAATATCAGCTCGCATATAGAAGGCTCGGTTGGCATTTGCTAACTTGAGACATCTGTGGCGCCGTCACGACATCCGGTTGTCAATGAAGGGTCGAGTGTATGTTGCAGCAGTTCGGCCAGTTCTGCTTTGTGGATAAGAAACTTGACCATCAAGAAAACAGGATAAGGAAGAGACTGGCGGTGTTTGAGCACCACTGTCTACGCAGCATTGTACGAATCTGGTGGGGTAGCCGGACGAGCAATGCTGAGGTTAGGCGCAGAGTTTTATGCAACGGTGGTCGCCCCCTGGAACAAGTAGTCGACCTCCATAGACTACTTTGGTTGTGGCATGTGTTATGCATGCCACCAGATAGGTTGCCACGGCGCACGACGTTCACCGAAGCGGGTAGTGGGTGACAAAAAACCAAGGGTGGTCAACCTAAGATCTGGCACGTGTCTGAAACCCTAACCAGGGCAATAGATCACTTAGGTCCCGTTAGGCTCCCTGGATAGGGAGCTCGAGATGATCTCAACCGGTGGTTACAGACCATGAGTGATAAGGTTCCACTATGTTAGACGTGGTATCAATCTGAGCGATGACAAAACTGCCTATCACCAGCTTACCAGCCTGTTCTCGATTTGAATTCCGAATCTGTCAGTCCCAAAGTTCTTGGTGAAAAGTAGCTAGGCTTAGTTAAAAACGACTTGATTTAGTTCCCTATTTGCTCACAATCCAAGCCTAAGAAGTTGAAATTCGAACATGTCTCCTAAACACTGTAAAATAGAACCCCAACACCAGTCTGTTAATGCTGACTGACAGATACTAGAGGATCTTAGACCTCAAGCGTGACTCTTCATTCGTCCAAGACACCGGACGCATACAATGTCGTTTTACAAGTCCCCCGAAACGTGACAGAACGAAATCTGCAAAGCCGTACCTTTTGTGTGACTGTTCCACAAATCCCGCCCATTCCATCAAAATAATGGCCAGCAAGGTCACGCTACGGGTCACAAACGCTTCTGTATTACGCGTCCAAATCACAGGCCCAACTAGCAGTTCACGGTCATCCAACATTCATTCGAGTAGTAGCTTTCCACATTCAAGGTGAACGCCGTTGACCATCATCGATTTGTTTCAGCAAGCCTCAACAGTCATCCTTCTTGCCTACAAATCGATACAATATCCGACATCGTGTTCGTTCCACGTCATTTGTGAAACTCTTTAAGTTGTCCCACCCTCCGCCCAACGAACCGGTAGGCCATCACTACTCGATGTGGTTCCCTCGAGCTACTCGGTTGCATTCGGTGTTCTGTAGTTATGTACGACATCCGTCAACATGGATTTCTGTGTCCCCAACTGCCCTAAACTCGATTGACACAAACGTTTTTTGTTCGGTTTCACCGTCGCTGGACTCAACGGCCACTCGTTTGCATTTCCAGTCTTCCCATTGCATATTATCTTTTCTGGGTATCTTAGTGTTCACCTAAGCATTTAACACTACTGTTTTCAATTTTAACTGACATGCAATCTGACCACTTCCTAAATCATTTTCCCCGTTGAATGTGATTACTGCTTAGGTAATGTGAATATTTATGGGCGCATGCTGAAAAGTGCATGAATAACTCTTATCCACAGAAACGGTATCAAACTCTGCTAATCCCATGTGACACCTCCGATTCTCTGTGTTCTTCACTTGGTCGCAGGAGTCCATACTGATTGTAAAAATGCGAAAAGGTCAGCGCCTTAAATTATGCGCAATTGCCAAAAAGGGATTTGGCAAGGAGCATGCCAAATGGAATCCGACCGCTGGTGTTGGCTTCGAGTATGATCCGGATAATGCGCTTCGTCATACATTTCTGCAAAAACCAGAGGAGTGGCCACGTTCAGAGTACTCCACCCTACCAGAGAACGAGCATCAAGCTCCTTTTGATCCAAATGGAAAGGTGATTCAATCTAGTGTACTTGTGATTTTAAATTTTGGAAAGTTTTCGTCATGTACTTCGATTGTTCTCCATTGGAACAGGGAAGCTATGCATACGTATAGGACAGGAGGAAACACAGCAGAAGTGATTCTTGATCATTTCCGTTCAATTTGTGTGCATTTAGTTGGCAGCAGTAACTGAAAGATCCCCTCGCCATTTTTTCGCTTTTTCTTATATGGTATTTTTATTTTCACGAGTTCTTAAATGATATAACTTAAGGCCATAAATATCACGTTTCTAAATCTGATAAGGCTATTTCAAATGATTTTTTTATTAAGTTGTCCGTATGTGGATCATCAAGATGGTTATGTGGCAATCCTAGATGTTAGATGCGACCAACTGATGGAAAGTTCTTTCTCTCTAATGATTTACTATGAAAATGTTTGATCAACTGGCCCGCTTTTCTTAAAAAGCACCAAACCGAATATGAGGAATAAATAAGACACTTCGTGATTTCCTCTTTATCCGAGAAAACATAGCATATTTCTCACTAGCTAGCCGTGCACAGTGTAGGCATCAATAACGGGATTCAGAAGTGCAAGTACCCACAATAGTTCAACGTCTTTTATTAATCCACGCGTATACAAGCATGTCAGTGCATTGTGCGGAGAAGAATTACGTGCGTGGTTTTGCACGACACACGGCTTTAAACTACCGACAACAAAAATTCTGATCACTACCTTTTTAAGTGTCAGCACTTCTGTTTCCCGGAATCAGTCTCTACATTGTACAGTCAATCCTAGGGAATACTGCTTTTTGGACTCCAGTTGCCAATAAAGTAATTTACGAGCGAAATTACTCACTTTTTTTTACAACATTCACGTGTAGCTTCTAACTGCGATTTTTCGCTCTACCCCTTTTTGCAGCCTAGCCGGTTTTACTTCAACGTGGAATCCTGCGGATCTCTCCAGCCGAAAAATATCGTCTTCTCTGCACTGGAAGTTCTAAAGAAAAAATTGCAAAATCTGCTGGACAATTTAACACAAGAGGGCTTTTGATTTTTACTGTACACGAGTTTTTGTGTGATTTCAAACTCCCTACTTTTCATACAAATATCCTCGTTGCCTTCACCCGTTCTGTTTGCTTATACTGGTTTCTTGCCGACGGCGGATTCGATGTTTTAAGCGTGTTTGTCAATAGCCTTTCTCCTAAAACAGGTCTAAAGACTTCAAAGCGGTCGGGAACAATTTCCACATTGTATACTGCTCCAAGTTCATGGTTTACGAAGTGCATCAGTGTCAGCCATCGTTGTGTCACAGATAAATAATTCTGATGTAATATGTGTGCTAAATGATGTGATCGGTTAACGTTACGCGATTTGCGAACCTAGTGAGTTTTCTCCACGCTATTTCTTAGTTCATGAATGGTGCAACGTAGGTTAGTGCCAATGACAGGTGTTCGCTTGCCTCGTTTGCCAAACGTGGGGACGAGGCATTCGAGTGCAACCGGCCTCGTTTTCTTCAAACTCAAAAGGGGCGAATTCACAGTAGAAATGAATGCAAAATAATTCCATTGCTAAGGATTTACCATATATCTGTTATAGAAATGCCGTACGCAAACCAGCCAATAATCACCTTGACGAGCTACAACAACGAAAACATCAAGTTTATCTTGGAAGAAACTGATCTAAGTGTTGCCAATGCTTTGCGTCGTGTCTGTATATCAGAAGTTCCCACACTCGCCATTGATTGGGTCCAGATAGAGGAGAACAACACAATGCTGAACGATGAGTTTATTGCCCAGCGCGTCGGACTTATTCCTCTAACGTCAGACAATGTCGTGGATAAGATGGCTTATTTTCGTGAATGTCCTTGTCGTGAATTCTGCGAACAATGTTCTGTGGAACTTACACTAGACGTGTGCTGCACCACAGATGCTCCTAGACATGTGACCGGTGCGGATTTGCTCAGCAGCAACCGAGAAGTTCAACCTGTCCCTTCCAGAGATGCAGACGATTCATCGTACGTTGGTCAGGTACGTTCGTTCTTTAGTGTTGATTTTTTTCTGAACGTCATTACAAAGGAAAGCGCTTTTAAATAGTTGTTTTTTATTCTTCCAACCTAATGTTATCATTCGAATTTACTACATGGTTTTCGTGATTCACGTTTCAAGAGGTAAATCCAGCTCTCGGAAAAAATGTAATATACAGGCTGCTAGAGCGGAAACATTTAGTTTTACCTTTTTAACTTACAGGAACTTGTAAATAGTGGTGTGCGATCAGGATTGATCTTAGCAGACCATGCGCAGTGATTCATTTTCAAGCACAGTTGTCAGTTCATGGGAACTCTACTCCACCACAATATATCACGCATAAGCTTATGAAACCGCCTAGATAATAATAATATTTTTAAAAATTTTACTTCCTTTTTATTGAATATGCAATGGTACAATTTTCAGGAGGGGGAAAGCGGCCAATCAAAGGTCTACCATTCAATACACAATGGGGGAAAGTCAGACAGTGGTGGTGGGATTCAAACATCCCCGGGGTGATAATGCGGTGACGTTACCAGCAGGCCACCACCGCCCAATACAAATGCTAATTGCAAAACTATTACCAGATGCAATTAGGTGACTCGATTTTCGCGCACATCATCATCATCGCACAGCGAAATACAGTGAAGCGAACTTCACTGAACGCTGCCAAACTCGCAAGGCATACAAGGTTAGTGGTAAAATTCAAGGTGGACAGGGATTGGAACTATTTTGAGGGAGGGAGAAGATGAGCCACTATGGTAAACACACAGAGTACGCACTCGAACTCTGCATACATACTGTTTCAAGTATTCTGGCCTGATAAGAAACGACAACAGTAATGCCACTGCTGCCTGTTCGCTGCTATATCTTTCAATGTCTCCAACCAATCAGTTGTGGAGTCTTTTGGACCCCAACCTAGAAGGCGAGAGACACTTACTCTACCTAATGGCTCTGTGCATATCTTCATGCCTCGTCTCCACGTCATCTGTTGACGTCCACGTGGTTTCCTCCAGCCCGGATTAACTACAGCGAATAAAGCGCGGTGCGGTAGACGATGGCTGGGCATACGCAATACGTGCCCCAGCCAGCGAAGCGTACTAATCTGAATTCGATGTGCTAGGAGGTTTATGCTTGACAGACTTCCAAAAACACGACGGCTTACCTTCAGATTACTAACCCGTTTGCTCCATCCCACGTGAGCTAAACTGCGTAAACACCAATAATCGAAAACTTCTAGTCGACGGATATCTTCTACTCGCAAATTTAAGGCCTCACAACTGAACGAACGCTAGCGCAATATACACTACCTTTCGATTTCAGTGAAACGTCGCGTCTACTCCAAAGGTGTTTCAGTCTTGCGTATGCTGCTCGAGCCTTGGAAATGCGGGCGGTTATTTGTTTTGCTGTGTTACCGTCATTGATCACGCAACCACGAAAAGTGGTCCACTCTAATTAATCCCTGACCATTTAGTTTCAGAGCGGGAGTAGAGGGAACCCAGTCCTGCAGCATCACTTTGCACTTTTAAGGTGCGAAGCACATACCAAATGTGGCAACCGTACTTTTCAGTCTATCATGTGCGCTTTGCGCGTATTCCATGCATTTGAACAGACAGACGATGTCTTCGGCGTACTCCAGGTCGCACAGCTTTTCTCCAGCTGTTCATTCACTACGTACGTTGTGGAGGGCCCTTAGTGCCTTCTCCAGTATTTTAATCTACGCCGAAGTTGAACAAGAACGGCGAAAGACGTTATTTATGGGGCACGGGATTTCAACAGGCAGACCGTACAGCATTCGCACCACTGACTTCTATTCTGGGCCATATCTCTTAACGTCTCTAACCAACGACAATCCTCATCCCTCAGGCCTCAAACTGGAAAGCGGACTGCAGCCGCCGAAGTCAAAGCTGAAGCCAGCTTCTTCATACCGCTACGACACGTCATGGTCTGACAGCCACGGCGCTTCTTCTAACCTTGCCCAGCACGTGCAAAGAGAGCACGAAAAGCTATACGATGGACAGGGATGTGCGAATCGTGACCAAGCCATTGTAGTCAGTGTAGAGTGATTGCGTATGTTAAAGAGCGACTATAAACACTCAGTGCACGACGACGAACCTCGTCATTGCCCACCCGAGGTTCCCACCAAACACCAGCAATGCTTCAGAGACATCGGTGGTCGAATACAGAAAGTCGATTAGCATCGACAACGCAGAGACCAGGCCTCGCAACCGTAAAGAACACTACGAACCGCGGCAATGTACGTTGTTTCCTTAAGGGACAGTTAGATATCACGGCGGCACCACATATGTCGCAGGTTAGTGAAACCTGCTCTAGCTGTCGCTATTCGTCATATGATCTCCTCCTGAACACGAACACCATCTGCAACCAAGCTTCCGAGATCTACAACACTACTCTCCGAATTTCTATCAAAGCGATAAAGCATTGATAGTTTCCGTTTCAGTTCTTACAGCCATTAACCAAGCACTTTTGTAAGCCGGTTTTGGTTGCCTATTTGGATAAAAGAGTAGAATGAAAATTAGAATATATGTCATACCCTAAAGTCTTAGGCACCCATTTGGAAAACCCTTCTTCCCATCTGTCTAGTTCTTCCTCTCAGCCCCGAATATTCCCAAACGCCTACTGTTTAGAAGATCCATCGGATATCACTCAGCGTTTTACCAACAAGTCCAGACATTCAGAAGTTAAGGGAATTTGAAGCCGAAATTCCCTTCTCACTTAGTCTCATTCAATGTCTGCACACTTTATCAGATCGGTCAACAAGCTGCCCTAGGTGGAACCCTTGAAACTTTCAATTTAGATGAATGCTATGTCTCCGAAACACGTATACAAGACCCCGGTTCCATTATCTCCCTGCGTTCTCCTAATCCAATCTCAACCTCTCGCTTCATCCTTCGTGTGTCAGGCGATTCGGTGTCCGAAGCTCGCGGTGTTGGGATTAGCGCTAAGTGTCAATGCTAAACGCTTGCTTCTCAACCGGATTCCAGTCAGCAGCCGACTGTGCTCCCTACGTCTCAACGGTTCAGCGCCGGTGAACAGCTATAGAACGAAGCGTCGATGCTTGTTCGTCGTATCGGTGTATGCACCGACCGATTGCAGTACACCTGAAGTCAAGGATGAATTCTACAAGGACCTTTCTCAATTACTCCAATGCCTTCGATCAACGGATATCGTGATAATCGCCGGAGAATTCAATGCTCAAGTGAGATCCCTGGACGAATCAGAGGCTTCTTGGTGAACCCCATGCAATCCCAGCCAACCGGACGGACAACGGAGATCGTCTGCTGCAACTCTGCGCCGATCATGGACTGTTCCTGTCAAGCACGAACTTCTCGCACAAGAAACGACACCGCCTTACGTGGTGATCGCCAACCTCTTCACAGCGCTGGACCCAAATCCACCACATCTGCATCAGTTACCGCTGAAGTGGATAGATTCAAGACTGCCGTTCTTATTGGTCGACACCTGTAGAAACGGAACACGCTTTGCCACGAGCGAAATTCTCCTTAAGCCTAGCAAACAATCGCATAGAAACCACCGACACTGGATACCCACGATACAATGTCATCGATTGCCGCAAAGCGGAACTTTCCGATCGCCTGTTAGTTCAACCACCAGCAGAAGGACTCACTGAACAGTGGAAGCAAATCAAGGAAGCTATGCAAATATCAATAAAAACAACGTCAAACCTTCACACAGACTCAAAACATAAACGATGGATCTCATCGACCTCGGCTGCCCTGCTGGACACCCGCAGAACCCTTCCTCAAGATGCCGCATATGAGAGCGCGCAAATCCCTCAAACGCCAGCTCATCAAGAGCCTGAGGAATGACCGCGAGAAGTGGTGGATAGGAAAGTGTAGAGAGATGGAGAAGGTTGCGGCTATTGGTAATGGTCACAATCTTTCCCTTATAATTAAGAATATGGGTCCTAGGAAAATAAGCGTAAATGAGGTAATTAAGGAATCCGATGGCACACTGATTCACGATCAACAACGCCGTCTTTATCGATGGGCTGAAAATTTTGAGGCTCAGTTCAACTGGCCCTGATCGTCATCTGAACTGTCACTCTCCACCGCGACTGCACAAATTCTGCCCGTCGATGCCAGTCGTTCATCTGAAATGGAGGCTTCCCGGGAAATAAGCTATCTCAGAAGGCATAGGGCCTCCGGCCCAGACGGGCTCAAGTTAGTTGCGCATGATCGATTTTTCCGAAACCCGTGCGGGCTGCGGACCGTAAGCCATTATTCACCGGATGATCCATTACAGAATCTGCAAGGATGGATTCCATGACTTTGGACACAACTAGAATGAGAGTGGCGATCGGCATTTGTCTGGGTCACTACGGCATCCACCTTTGTAAATTGTTGAAACAGCACCGTTTTTACACACCTGAAGAAGTTCGGTATCTTCAAAACGTTTTCAGCATAGTCCACTTAGTTCCGTCTGGTCTACGCTCAACAACGATACCTAGAAATGGGAGTGTGTTGTTCTGCTCAGTTTCCATAGTGAATTGGATGTCCTTGTGAAGTGGATTCCATTCAGCCAACAACTCCTCGGTTCCCTTAGCGTTTCAGGCGATTATCAACGTATCATCGGCATATCTCCTGTAGAGTACAATGCCGTTTAATGTCCTACTGGTTTTGTTCTCTAGACTAGCCATGACTACGTCAGCTTGAATGGGACCCATTAGGTAGCCCATAGCCACGCCACCGATTCATCTAAATCGCCGACCCCGAAAACTGAAGTGTACATCCGTTGGGCATAGAATAAGCAGGCTTTCCAGGACAGAAAGCGGAATGCCCAACTGGATTTGTTTCTCCAACTCGTAGTCACAAATGATTTGTATAGGCACATTGGTGAACAAACGATATCGAGAGATCCAAAATGACCGTCATTTATGTTTAGCTCATCGAGAACCTTGGTGAGTTCGAAACTATCCTTCGAGAAGTACTTTGCGATGGATTTTCTAACCGGCTCCAGTTTTTTAACGAGCAACTTGGCCATATTGTGCTGTGACCATGCGAAATTCTGCACATATTGTGTTGTGA